AACAGATCCCTATCCCTATGCTGGGCACCTCCTCATCACGAGGCCAATCTTAGGGCTTCCCTTTTGGGGGATTGTTTTGGATATGTTTGGGGTATGTTTTTTTCGTCGAGAATCCCCCTGAAGGGGGACACGCCCGACATAACCCTAGTCACCACCCCCCTCTCTGCCGCCCCCGAACAGAGGGCTCTTAGAACCTTGTTCGGCAGGGCTGCATTACCAGCCTGGAGCATATCCCTATCCCTATGCTGGGCACCTCCTCATCACGAGGCCAATCTTAGGGATTCCCTTCTTTCTTGAGGGCGCATCCCTAAGATTGTCATCGCCTTTTAGCGTGTCAATCGTGGGGATGGGGATGCGTTCGAGGCTGGTAGGAAGTCCTGCCACGGGGCGCCCGAACGGCGGCGAGCGGGCCACGGTGCGGGGAGCTGCGCCGACACGCACCGCTAAGGCCCACGAGGCGCCCAGGGGGCGCCGACGGGGCGACGGCTCGGGCAGCACGCCTGGTCGCCCAGGAGCCAGCTCGAGAACCCCGACGCGTGCCTCCTCCTCCTCATCCTCCTCCTCCTCCTCCTCGTTCTCATCCTCCTCCTCCTCCTCCTCCTCCTCCTCCTCCTCGAATGCCGACGTTTTCTCTCCCCACCCGCCCCCCTTGCCGCCTCCCCCCCTGGTCCTGCCGCCCGCGAGGCATCATAGTGCTCGACATCGGCCGCTGGAGATCCGTGGAGGCCGCCGTCGCCGCGCTCAACCAGGGGGACATCCTCCGCTGCGAGGAGGGCTTCTGCGTCGTGCACTCCGCATCCTAGGGGCCGGCGCCAAACCTCCTACCCCAGGAGAGGTGAGGGTGGGCGAGGAGGAAGGGGGGGGGAGGAGAATGAGGAGGAAGAGGAGTGTTCAGGAATATGGATGGACCGGAGTTCTTCCTAACCACCCACACATTGGATTGACGATATTTGTGCACATTGGGCGGTATAGGTAAGCATCCTTTGCGCCTGTGTCACCCCCAGACGGGTTGTGACCGAAGGATCTAGGCGCACGTTCTATCTACTGTGGCGGGCCGATAGGAGAGACGCGGCATTCATGCGTTTTCGAGGGATCCTTGTCGCCTGAAAATGCTGATATCCACGTCAGCGACATGTCGTCCTTACCCATCACTTTCTCATCTTCGTTCAAGCGGGCTTCGGCACAATGTTCCGCAGGGGGCGTGCAGCGAGGAACAGCACCTGCACTGCCACGAGAAAGTCGCGTGCGCGCGCATCAGTTCACGCTATGCCGAGGCGGAGGTTTGGGCCGCACCGCCGCCGCTCCCATGGCTTAGCCCCTTGGCCCCAGGTGAGCGACGGAGAAGTCGGAGCCGATTGCGCCGACATTCGCGCGCAGTCTGCCCGCACGCGGTCGCGCGTAAGCCACCGCCGAAGGTCGCTACAGTCAACGCGTCTGGCAAGGACGCGCGCCTTCATTTAGGGTGCACTTGTGTCCTTGCCTCTGCGGCCCGTCCTTGACCGTTTTCACTGGTCGCCCGCTGCTTAACAAGATCCCAATTTCGGCCCCCAAGTGACTTTCGTCCTAGCCACCCGTCCTTAATGCAGCCGGACCGAGGTATAAGATCGAGGTCGTTTCGGTGACTGTACCCTAATGCTCTTCGTGTTTGTTGGATGTGACCGTGCACCCTGATGTTCTGTACGTTTTGGCCGGCGGAGGGTCTCATGCTCTTGAGGCATATTCTTCTGGCCTAGGTCCGCTTGTACACGTACCGACTGCATGCCATCGCGCGTAAGGCCCTTCTCTTCTCACCGCTCTGGTGGCCTCTCCCCGTCCTCCACTCCTGCTCTCTCGCCCCCCCGCCCCTCCGACCGCCGCCCGCGTGTTCCATGCCGGCCACGGCTGCCGCTGCCCCGAGAAAAGAGGGCGCCGACCGCGGGAGCCTTGCCGTGGTAGAGCCGCACGGCTGCCGGGATCCTGGCGGGGCCGCGGCAGTCGGGGTTCGAGAGAGGGGTGTCAAGGCAGAGGGGGTTCAGCCAGAGCGCCAGATCTTGCAGGATCTTGCAGCGCCAGGGTGGCGCTCAGGGGCAACGATAGGGGGGGATAGGCACAGGGGGGGATGCATCGACCCCCAATCGCCCATTGATCGCCGATAGGGGCCTGATAGCCCCACCCTGCCAAGGAAAGTTCGGACTCACTATCGAGCGCCTATCGCCGATCTATCGGCGATGTATCGCCGATTCCAGTTCGATGCATCCCCCCCTATGCCTATCCCCCCTATCGTTGCCATTCATGCGCTGGCCCGGGCTTGGGCGCAGGATCCTGCAGGATCTTGCAGCATGGTAAGGTCAAGACCCGGGTTTGGATTGACCCGGGTCAGCCGATCCCAGAAGCACGTCCTTAGGATTTTAGGTGAGCATGTGTTTTTTTGTTTTCCCGACATTCATGGACTGCGCCCTACCATTCACCACTGCATGTTTCCCGGCGTCCTTCGGAGCACCTGTGTGTGGCGGCTACAGACGTTGCCGAATGGGTTGGGTGGTTTGACCGTGGGGCGAAGGAAGGTGCGCCGTTCGCCCACCTCCGGGGCCCTGAAAGGGGCCCCTTGCGGCCCTGGATTCACGCGAGAGGTGCATGTGGCTTCGCTCTCCCCCCCTCCTGCCTGTACTGCCCTGCATGAAGCGGCGCCCGAAGCAAGGCCATCGATTGGGGTCGATCCAGGGGCTGCTCATCCTGTTTTCTACAGAGCGGCCCAGAGGAGAGGGGAGCGGTATGCACATTTCGCTCTTTTGTGTACCTGCTTGGGGTCAAGAGCGCTCGCGTGCAAACCCAGTCTGGCGACGATCATGTCGTTTGCCTTCGTGCACTTTGAACGACTGGCACGTCGGCATTGGGGCTCGTCTTGGGCGACCACGTACGGCAGGTTCGCGTTGTGTCGACCGGCGGCGACCCCAGCGCGGGCGTTTAAGGTTGAACGCCGCCCGTCGCCCAGCATCGGCCCGTCGTTGAACGATCCGGCGTTCACGGAACGGCCGATCGTTCAAGTTTGAACGATCCCCGCGGTGTCAGGTTTCAACGCCGAGGTCAGCACGGCGCGAGCTTGCCGTGGTCCCGCGTCCGCGGCCTCGCGGGCCGGCGCGACCCCGCGGGTGCGGGGTGTTTTTTTCGTAGGCCCCCCGCGCGGAACGTATCCTAGGGCACCCGCGGGGGCGCGAAGACGATGGCACTTCGTGCGTCAGGAGGGAACAAAAACACACAGACACAAGTAATCGTCGATTCCCCAGAAAATACGGGAAAATATGGGAAGTGGGGGGGAAGACAAAAACCCAGAAAATATAGGAAAATATGGGGAATCTGTTTTATTTGTGTGTTTCTTTGTGTGTCCTGGGGCCCCTTGATCCTAGGGCGCCCGCGGGGGCGCGGAGACGGAGACGATGGCACTTCGCGCGGCGCGGTCCGCGGTCCCGGGCGGGGGCGGCGCTGCCCTCCTGCCGAGGAACGGCGGCGCGGGGGCGCAGGGGGCGCGAGGATGGCCGGGGCCGCGCCCAGCGGGGCGCGGGGCGCGGAGTTCCGGGGCTGGACAGAACCCCCAACAGTGACGCGTCGATCAGTGCATTGTCCGTTGTCGGTTCTCGAGAGGGCGCCGTGGCCGTCATCTTCCAGGCTCGCGCCTGCCAGGTCTGGGCCTCGGGTCGTTGTCACTGAACCACGTTGTACTAAAGGGGCGTCTGTCCATCCCCGAAAGTTGGGTGACCGAGCGGTCTCCGTGCGACCGCGCATCCGCGGGATCGCGCCCCGGAATCCAGACCGCGAGGGCGGTGAAGATGATGAAGATGATGATGATGATGATGATGATGATGATGATGATGATGATGATGATGATGATGATGATGATGATGATGATGATTTTGATGATGATGATGATGATGATGATGATGATGATGATGATGATGATGATGATGATATTGATGCCTCTGATGAAGATGTTGATGATGATGACTATGATGATGATGCTGATGATGGTGATCATGATGACTGATGATGGTGATGATGATGACTGATGATGAGGCTGCTGATGCTGATGATGATGACTATGATGATGATGATGATGATGATGATGATGATGATGATGATGATGATGATGATGATGATGATGATGATGATGATGATGATGATGATGCTGATGCTGATGACTGATGAGGATGTTGATGCTGATGCTGATGCTGATGCTGATGCTGATGCTGATGATGATGATGATGATGATGATGATGATGATGATGATGATGATGATGATGATCCGCACGGTATTCGTGGAACCGCGCTGGGGCCCCTTGAAGGCGCTTCCAGCGCCGCCCCTGGCGCGCTGCGCGCGTCAGGGAGGGAGCTCTTCGCCCAGATCCAAGAATTCCGCGCGGACCTCCAAACACGTAGTCCCAACCCTCCTAAGATGTTGGGTCCTCGTTTTGAAGAGACAGCGCCCCGCGCCACCTCCTCTCCTCTTCTCCTCCGCCTCCCCTTCCCCCTTCCTCCCATCAGCATCATCATCATCACCATCATCATAATCATCATCAGCAGCATCATCATCGGATCGGGTTCGGATGATTTCTCGCTGCTCGCGGAGCTCGCGCTCTCGGCGGCCCTGCGAGGGCCCCGTGCCCCCAGGATCGCCGAGCCCCGGGCGCCGCACCGAGCTACTGCCACCCATCGCTCGCCCCTGCGCGGCGCGCGGCACCCCACCCCCGTCGATCGGACGACTAGCTGTAGGTTCGCGCGGCGAGGGCGCGCTGGCGACGCCGGCGAAGGCGTTCCAGGCTGAATTCTGCGACGCGGAAGAGCCGAGGGACGCGGTGGTAACGCCGCTGGACCCGATCGATCGAATTAGATGGGGGAAGCGTACGACTCGGGCAAGCCAGAATTCGGGTGGATTTTGACGGTCCGGTTTGGGTGGGATGTCTGCAGCCGGAGTTCGCGTCAAATTTCAGATTGGGTCTCGTCACTTGCGTGGTGGCCCCGTCGGGCCAACCCGAGGCCCCCGTACCCGAGTCTTACGTCTCCTCGATTAGAGTCTGAACGATCAACGCCGCGATCAGTTCAAGGTTGGATAGCATGTGCTGTTCGGCATCGTGCGCTGCTAGGTTCGCGTTTTGTCGACCGGCGGCGGCCCCGCCGCCGGCGTTCCACGGTGGACCCCGGCGGCGACCTGGAGTAGGTCGATGTTGACCAGTCTGAGGTTTCGGAATTGGTCGATTGTTAGGTTGAACGATCCCCGCGGTGTCAGAAGCCAACGCCGAAGTCGGCAGGATATCGACTTGCCGTACCCCAGGACAATGAAGAAGGACAAAGACACAGATGATCGTGGATCCCCAGTGACGTATGGGACAAAATGGGAGGTGAAGGAGAAGACGGAACCCCAGAAAACATGGACAATTACAGTCAGATTGAGGTATAAGATCGAGGTCGGTTCTGGGAGGGTACCCTCATGTTCTTCCTGTTTGTTTGATGTTCTTGTGCACCCTGGGGAGGGCACCTCGGATGTTTTGCGCGTCTTGGCCGGGGGAGGGTCTCGTGTTCTTGAGGGATGTTCTTCTGACCTGGGTCCTGCTGTATCGGGAATGCTGGGATCCTGGGGTCTGTGTATGTTCCTTCGTGCGCTCCGGGGCCCCTTCACCGCTGGCGTGCCGCCGCGAGCTCCAGCCGGGGGCGCCGCCCCCGTCCGGAGCGCTTTGCCTGGCTGCTGACCCGCGAGTTCCTGGGGGCCCCTCCTCCCGCGGGGCAGCACCTCGGAGGAGTAGCTGAAGTGGGTCGTTTGGGAAGCTCATGCTATCATGCAAAGCTCGGGGGCGTGCGAGGGGGGGAAGTGAGTAGGGGAAGGCCTTCTCTGAAGGCGGCGGGGCTTCTCAGAAGCCCTCGCGCTGCCTGAGAAGGGTTCTGTGTCTTCGGGGAAGGCTTTGACAACTTTTCAGAAGGAGAAGGTCAGGGGGCTTCCGAGCCTTCTGAGAAGGCTAGCCCCTTCTCATTTCCCCCCCTGGGCTCGCCGCCGAGACATGCATGATGCACTTCTGTGCACCTTCGTAGAGGCTACGAAAGGCCGCTGAGGGCCACCATCGGCGGCGAAAAGGCCGCCAAAGGCCACTCAAGGAGGTTGAAAGGTTTTCGAAGGCCACGTGAGGCAGCCAATACTAGACCGAAGGCCGCCACAGGTTACTAAACCGAGGCGATGTATGTTAGAGCTATCCTGGATTCATCGGGCGCCCGACCACTCCCGAATCATCGGGGCTGGGGGTGGCCAGGGGTAGCTCCTGCTTTGCGCGTCGGCAGCACCTCGGAGGAGTAGCAGCCACTCGCAGAGGGGGGTAGGGGGAGGGAGGGAGGGCTTCTTAGACGCGGCCCTGCTTCGTATAGATGTCTGGCCGACGCCTTCTAAGAAACAGCCTCCTTCTAAGAAGCCTTGTCCCTCCCTTCGCCCCCCTGTGCGCGCCGCCATAGCACCTCGGAGGAGTTGAGCATACCGATGCCACTGCTCGTCCTGGAGAGCCCTCTTACAGGGGGGATCCTTGACCGGGAGAAACATACCGATGCCGCTGCCGCTGTTTGTCCTGCAGGGCACGCAGACCGAGGGGCGAGGGAGGGGAGAGGGGGGGTGGGGCGGGAGGTGGCGGGAGGACGGATGGATCTGGGGGCTGCCCAGACCCCCGCCCCGTGATTGCGCAGATCAGCATGTCAACTCAGAGGCCCCGCAGCTGCGCGCGCGTGTCTTGGCGGGCCGGGGAGGGTCGTGGATCCGAGAAGACAGATGTGTTGGCAGTGTTGCTCGTCCTGGGTAGCTCTCACCACCTCGGCTGGATTATCTTCGACATTCTGGTCAGAACGCACCCCGGAAGAGGTCGGTTGCGCTGTTGCCCACAAGCGCCAGAGGTATTTGGGGTGAGTTCTCAATGCGGCCCTTTCGCGTCGCCCCGGCTACTGCAGCCCTGGTGGTAGCCCTGAGATGGGTGAAGACGACAGGACGGCCCAAGAGGCTCCCAAGACACCCAGAGAGAGCCCCTCCATAACCATTCTGGCTCAAAAGGAACCGCACCACAGCATTATTCACGTCAGCATTCCACCTTTTCTCAAGCAAGCTGGAGCGCTATGAAGAACGTGCAGCTACCGCTCGCCCTCGCAGTTTTGGCAGTAGCTGCTGCGCGTACTGGTGCCGTCGACTCCAGTCTGATACAGTTGGCCGCGGTGGACCACGCCAAGTTGGAGTCGCTCGACCTGACGAACAAGACTTCGGTCACCTGTTTCTTCACTATAGACAATGTGGTCGAGTCTGCGTATTATGGCAGTACTGCTCTCAGCATCACCGGAGATTTGCACCAGTGGCATCTAACCAAGAGTGTCACGTTCACTCCGGATTCTGCAGGAAGCTATTTAACCATTTCTGGATACGATTATGGGAATATTTGCACCGATGGCGGTTTCGCCATCGAGTGCACCAATGGTGTGAACGGAGGCTCAGGGTGGCAGGTGTACGGTAGTGCCAGTACCGTTGACCACACGCACCGCACGGGCGGGGGGAGTGGATGGACCCAGCCTTGCAATTCGCAAAGCAGTTTCACCTTGGCTTACAATTCAGGATCTCCCAAAATCGGGGCAGTGGGCATGTACGGAGCTTTCCGAAGCTACGTGGCCTCGACCCCAAGCCCCACGGTCCCGGTCACATGCCATTTCACAATAGACAATGTGGTCGAGTCTGCGTATTATGGCAGCACTGCTCTCAGCATCATCGGAGATTTGCACCAGTGGCATCTTACCAAGAGCGTCACGTTCACTCCGGATTCTGCAGGAAGCTATTTGACCATTTCTGGATACGATTATGGGAATATTTGCACCGATGGCGGTTTCGCCATCGAGTGCACCGATGGTGTGAATGGGGGCTCAGGGTGGCAGGTGTACGGTAGTGCCAGTACCGTTGATCACACGCACCGCACGGGCGGGGGGAGTGGATGGACCCAGCCTTGCAATTCGCAAAGCAGTTTCACGTTGGCTTACAATTCGGGATCTCCCAAAATCGGGGCAGTGGGCAAGTACGCAGCCTTCCGGTATGGCGGCTACGTGGTCTCGACCTCCAGCCCCACGCCCAGCCCGACGCCATCTCCAACCCCTTCCCCGACGCCCAGCCCGACGCAGTCTCCGACCTCGTCACCAACGGCCAGCCCGACGCCATGTCCAACCCAGTCCCCGACGCCCAGCCCGACACAGTCACCAACCCCGTCCCCGACGCCCAGCCCATCACCTTCTCCAACCCCGTCCCCGACGCCCAGTCCGACGCCCAGCCCGACGCCATCTCCAACCGCGTCCCCGACGCCAAGCCCGACGCCCAGCCCATCACCGTCTCCAACCTCGTCCCCAACACCCAATCCGACGCCCAGCCCTTCGCCAAGCCCGACATCCAGCCCGACGCCTGCCCCGACGCCCAGTCCGACGCCCAGCCCGACGCCAAGCCCGACGCCCAGCCCATCACCATCTCCAACCATGTCCCCGACGCCCAGCCCGACGCTAAACCCGACGCCCAGCCCGACGCCATCCCCAACCCCTGCTCCGACGCTCAGCCCGACGCGATCTCCGACCTCATCCCCAACAGCCAGCCCGACGCCATCTCCAACCCTGTTCCCGACGCCCAGCCCGACACAATTGCCAACCCCGTCCCCGACGCCGAGCCCAACGCCATCTCCAACCGCGTCTCCGACGACCAGCCCGACGCCGAGCCCGACGCCATCTCCAACCATGTCCCCGACGCCCAGCCCATCACCGTCTCCAACCCCGTCCCCAACGCCAAGCCCGACGCCAAGCCCTTCGCCAAGCCCGACGTCCAGCCCGACGCCTGTCCCGACGCCCAGTCCGACGCCCAGCCCGACGCTCAGCCCGACGCCCAGCCCATCACCATCTCCAACCGCGTCCCCGACGCCCAGCCCGACGCCAAACCCGACGCCCAGCCCGACGCCATCCCCAACCCCTGCTCCGACGCTCAGCCCTTCGCCAAGCCCGACGCTTGCCCCGACGCCCAGTCCGACGCTCAGCCCGACATTCAGCCCGACGCCCAGCCCGACGCCGAGCCCGACGCCCAGCCCGACGCTCAGTCCGACGCCCAGCCCAACACCCAGCCCGTCGCCAAGCCCGACGCCATCTCCAACCTCGTCCCCGACGCCCAGCCCGACGCCCAGCCCATCACCTTCTCCAACCCCGTCCCCGACGCCCAGCCCGACGCCCAGCCCGACGCTCAGCCCGACGCCCAGCCCGACCTTCAGCCCGACGCCAAGCCCAACGCCATCTCCAACCTCGTCCCCGACGTCCAGCCCGACGCCATCTCCAACCTCGTCCCCAACACCCAGCCCGACGCAATCTCCAACCTTGTCCCCGACGCCAAGCCCGACAGTATCTCCAACCGCGTCTCCGACGGCGAGCCCGACGCCTATCCCGACGCCATCTTCAACCATGTCCCCGACGCCCAGCCCAACGCCCAGCCCATCACCATCTCCATCCACGTCCCCGACGCCCAGCCCGACAATAGTGTCGGTCAGTGCGCTGGGTGACCCGCACATGACCTCTGTCACCGGCGCCAAGTTCGACCTAGTGCAACCAGGCAACCACACGTTGCTGCACATCCCTCGGTACTCCGTCCAGGAAAATAATCTCATCAACGTGAGGGGTGTTGTCAAGCACGAGGGGTCGACGTGCCTGGACATGTACATCGACTCCTTGCATATCACTGGCAAGTGGGCGGACGAGAGGCACCTCGGAGGCCTGAGCTTCTTCTCGGACAAGCGTGCCGAGGTCAGCGGGAACTGGCTGACATTTGGGAGGCTAGAGTTGAAGGTCGTACACGGCGTGACATCCGGCGGCACAGAATATCTCAATTTGTTGGCCAGGCATTTGAAGAGCATTAATTTGCCAATCGGCGGCATTCTCGGGCTGGACGACCACAGCCAGGCGGCAACGCGAGGAGAGGATTGCAAGCGAACGATTTCCCTACTACACTCTGGAGCAAGGCGTGCGAACATCTCTATGACTGGTGCCAATATGTGATGCTACTAGATGCGCGCGTTCGCATGATGCTTTCATCCGCGGTGATGGTTGTCAACTCGTGGTATTGGTGCTTTGTCATCTGAGTGCAGAGTGCAGCACTGCAGGCGCTTAGGCGGTTATGTCCATCGATGTGCTCTCTGTGCAGTGCTGTCTGGCTGGCACGTGTTTGGAACGCAATTCTTTCTAGTGTCCACTTTGCCTTCTCATCAGAGCCTTGCAGTTCCGTGAGGTGATTTGTGCAGAGCTGACATGGTCTGGGCGGCCGCGGGTTCCTGTCGTTTCACCTCCGTTCGCAGCTCTTCGCAAAGGCGACCACTTCCATTGTCCATGTTGCCTTCTCAGTGCGTTGCAGTGTTCGTTGCATGTGTGTGTGTGTGTGTGTCAGTGCAGGGCTGGCATGGTCTGGGCGACCGGCTGTCCTGGCATGTCACCTTCGAATCCACGTTGGTTGGTGCTTTCCTGGCGCGTGCGTTGTATTGCTGCGTCGGCGTAACTTTCATGTTGGCGTCCTTAGGGCGGATCACCTGTTTGAGGTGTTCTCAGTGAATCGTTTTCTGGTTAGCACGTGCTTGGCGTGCCGACTAGTGGTTAGCCCTCGCTTGGCGACTCACGACACCCTGAAAGAGACCTATCATCACCGCCAAGATGGCCTGACAAGCTACATGTCATCGATCTGACTTCCAGTTGCTCAATGCTTTTGGTGCTCTGGCTTTGTCGAGCTTCCAGCAACCCAAGGTGGCCCAGCCCTAGCGCACCCCAAAAGACACCCAAGAAGGTGCCAAGAGAGCCCCGAGAAGGGTGCAACAGAGGTCGTGGAGAATCATCCTGGCGGGTAGGGCTCCCAGCATGCCTCTACGAGGAGCTCGCGCCGCTCGCGGAGCTCGCGCTCTCGGCGGCCCTGCGAGGGCCCCGTGCCCCCAGGATCGCCGAGCCCCGGGCGCCGCACCGAGCTACTGCCACCCATCGCTCGCCCCTGCGCGGCGCGCGGCACCCCACCCCCGTCGATCGGACGACTAGCTGTAGGTTCGCGCGGCGAGGGCGCGCTGGCGACGCCGGCGAAGGCGTTCCAGGCTGAATTCTGCGACGCGGAAGAGCCGAGGGACGCGGTGGTAACGCCGCTGGACCCGATCGATCGAATTAGATGGGGGAAGCGTACGACTCGGGCAAGCCAGAATTCGGGTGGATTTTGACGGTCCGGTTTGGGTGGGATGTCTGCAGCCGGAGTTCGCGTCAAATTTCAGATTGGGTCTCGTCACTTGCGTGGTGGCCCCGTCGGGCCAACCCGAGGCCCCCGTACCCGAGTCTTACGTCTCCTCGATTAGAGTCTGAACGATCAACGCCGCGATCAGTTCAAGGTTGGATAGCATGTGCTGTTCGGCATCGTGCGCTGCTAGGTTCGCGTTTTGTCGACCGGCGGCGGCCCCGCCGCCGGCGTTCCACGGTGGACCCCGGCGGCGACCTGGAGTAGGTCGATGTTGACCAGTCTGAGGTTTCGGAAACGGTCGATTGTTAGGTTGAACGATCCCCGCGGTGTCAGAAGCCAACGCCGAAGTCGGCAGGATATCGACTTGCCGTACCCCAGGACAATGAAGAAGGACACAGACACAGATGATCGTGGATCCCCAGTGACGTATGGGACAAAATGGGAGGTGAAGGAGAAGACGGAACCCCAGAAAACATGGACAATTACAGTCAGATTGAGGTATAAGATCGAGGTCGGTTCTGGGAGGGTACCCTCATGTTCTTCCTGTTTGTTTGATGTTCTTGTGCACCCTGGGGAGGGCACCTCGGATGTTTTGCGCGTCTTGGCCGGGGGAGGGTCTCGTGTTCTTGAGGGATGTTCTTCTGACCTGGGTCCTGCTGTATCGGGAATGCTGGGATCCCGGGGTCTGTGTATGTTCCTTCGTGCGCTCCGGGGCCCCTTCATCGCTGGCGTGCCGCCGCGAGCTGCACGTTTGAGGGATGCGGCCAGTGGCGGCATGCGTTCTAGTTGTTCAGCGACATGCGGGGTACAATGCGGAGAAGACCGAAATTAAGTACAGCTTGGGCATCGCCGCGTACGTGAGGTTGTTTCGCAACTCGGTAGGATTCCCAGGCCATTCTGGCATTTTGTTTGTTTTGCGTTTTAGCGTGTCTTGCGAAACCCTGCGCGTGTAGGAATAGGTTGGGCGACCACTGTGACAACGTAGACATGCGTAATTCGATTTTGGCAGTGGCGTTCCATCGCGCAGGAAGCGGGTTGGAATACCATCGCATGGATTCCCCGTGATTGGCTGGAGCGCTGAGGTCAGCACATGGAAGAGGGGCGTGAAGTGAAGGCGGGTCCGGCCGCTGCTCAGAGCGAGACGGTGGTTGAGAGGCTGGAGCTCAGTGTCGACAGCTGTTTCGCGAGTTGCGGGATGCGATTCTGGAGCCCAAAGGCCGTCGGCGCTGCAATCCCGGGCGGTGCGCGGGCCAGGCACGAGCGCCGTGTACCATGGTCGGGGGCGGAAAAGAGGGGGGTGATGACCAGGGGGGGGTGGATATCATGGCGGGGGCCATGATATTTCCCCAGGTTTCATGGCGCCTCTCCTTATTTCATTACGTCCCTGGCCCCCCTGCTGGGCCGCGCACATGCCGCCGGTCATGATTTGCACCCCCCCCTCTTGGATCGGGGGAGCGTAAGACCCGGGTTTGCCGGGACTCGGGTTCGCCATCGTTTTTTGACGACCGCGACTCGGATTTTGACGAGGAGGAGTTTCGTGGGATGTCTGCAGCGGGAGGCCTCGTCAAAATGCAGGCTCGGCCTCGTCATTTTTTTGACGACCTCGTCGGGGATTTCCGAGTCCCCCGTACCCGGGTCTTACGTCTCCCCGATCTTGGCCGCTCCCGATGTACCATGGCGCCTGGGCCCCGGGCTCCGAGGACGCCCCGCCCCAGGCGACCCGACGCGCCCGCGCACGAGAGGGACCTGGGTGAGCTCACGACACTCGGGTAACGTCGGGCCTCTCCCCCTGCAGGGGGACTTTCGACAAAAGATAAGAGAAGATACTTCAAAAATAGTCCCAAAGATAGTCCAAACACAGTCTGGGGACTGGTTTTGGCCCTGTTTTTTGACCCTCGTGGGGCATGTTTGGGGTATTTTTTTATTTTTTGTTCGTCGAGGATCCCCCTGTTGGGGGGGCAGGCCCGACGTCACGCTCGGGCCCCACGGTGCCAGAAGTTGGGCCGCGGTCGCCCCAGGGGGGCCCCGCGAGAGGGCCTCGCGCCTCGGGCCTCGCGCCTCGTTCCGTTCTCCTCCCCGCTCCTCTTGCTCCTCTTGCTCCCCGCATTCTGCTCCGACCCTCGCTCAGAGCCCCGAATCATCAGGGGTAGCTCGGGTCAGGGCTAACTCGGGTTCGTGTTTCGGGAATCCAAACCCGAGTTACCCTGGACCCGAGTTACCCCGGATAACTCGGGCGTACAGAGCCCCGAATCATCAGGGGTAACTCGGGTCAGGGCTAACTCGGGTTCGTGTTTCGGGGATCCAAACCCGAGTTACCCCGGACCCGAGTTACCCCGGATAACTCGGGCGTGCAGAGCCCCGAATCATGAGGGGTAACTCGGGTCAGGGCTAACTCGGGTTCGTGTTTCGGGGACCCAAACCCGAGTTACCCCGGACCAGAGTTACCCCGGATATCTCGGGCGTCCAGAGCCCCGAATCATCAGGGGTAACTCGGGTCAGGGCTAACTCGGGTTCGTTTTTCGGGGACCCAAGCCCGAGTTACCCTGGACCCGAGTTACCCCAGATAACTCGGGCGTCCAACTCGCGGCTCACTCCTCGCCCATCCCGCACTTTGTGGGCCCCGGAAACGACAGGGCCGTTTTTTCACCGTTTCCAAAAAAATGTCCCTTGAACATGGAAGCGGTAACAAAAACACGGCGACCGGAAACGGCAACAAAAACGGCTCCAGGATTGGAGCCGGAGCCGGAACCGGTCACAAAACAGCGACGGAACCGGCAACAAAAACGGCGTCGGAGCCGTCAAAAAAACGGCAAAACGAATCCGGTAAAAAAACGGCCCTGTCGTTGCCAGGGCCCACGAAGCGCGCGCATCTTCGAGCCCCTCTCCTCGCTCCGTCCTATGCCGTCCTCCTGCCTGGCGTCTCCCTCCTGGCTGCGTCTCCTCGCTCCTTCGCCTCCTCGGTCCTCGCTCTCCTCGGCGTCTGCATTCCCCACCTCCTCGGCTATCCCTCGTCCCTCCTCGCCTCTCTGTCTCCTCTGCCGTCTCTCCTCGTCGATCGTTCCTCGCTGTTCCCCACCCCCTCTCGACTGTTCGCCACCCCCTCTCGTTTCCGACTCCTCGCTCCTTGCCCCTCGTTTCTGGACCCGCTCGCGAGCAGCAGGTTGCGTCAGCTGATTGGCATGAGTGCCGGTAGGCATCACCCCGCAGCCAGAAGAAGCAGCATAAGCGAACCTTAACAACCCTTCCGCGTCTTTCGACATGGTCAAGGGTGTGCACACCAGTAAGTTCTCCAGTGTCGTAGTCGTGCTAGCAGGTGTGTGTGTGTGCGTGCAGACGCACGTGCGCACATGCTGATGATATGCATGTATACACGCTATTGCACCTCGTATGGACAGCGCGTGCAGGTTGATCCATCATCAACAATACGTAGGCATGCGTGCAGCTGTGCTTGATCGTGTGTGCGTCTGTGTGCGCGGGTGCGGAAGCGCTCGTGATTATTGTTGGCTCTCCCCCTCCTCACTTCAGCGAGGCGCCACGACTTCTATCGCGCCCTGGTGCAAGGGGCGGGCTTGAACGACATGCGCAGGCGCCCCGCGACCCGCGCGACTCCCAGAGGCCCTCCACGAGCGGACAGACGATAGGTCGCGCGACTCCCCTGGCATCGCTCGGACGTGTGCGTTTTTTCCTCGGCGAGGACCATCGAGGAGTATCCTTGACCACTTGGCGAAAAAATCACGCACGAAACGGACAAACACACAACAAAAATGGACGTCCGAGCGATGGCGAGCTCCATGGCAGGACCAGAGCAGGGGCCGTCTCCGAGGCGCGCGTGGTCCAGATCCCCCCCCCCGCCGGGGCCCCCGCGGCTCGACCCCAGGGTGCTGGTCATGGGCGCGTCCTGGCCTCGCGTATCCTCTCGCGCCACTCTGCTCCTGCCTCGTCCATGCCTCGGCCGGCGTCAACCATCCGCTTGCCGCATCAGTGAGGTTGCGGGCCATCGGGGCCCGGCCGGACACCGCCACCCCGAAGGCATTGCAGCCGGAGGAGGAGGAGGAGGAGGAGGAGGAGGAGGAGGAGGAGAAGGAGGAGGGGAAGGAGGAGGAGGAGGGGAGGAGGAGGAGGAGGAGGAGGAGGAGGAGGAGGAGGAGGAGGAAGGAGGAAGGAGGAGGGGAAGGAGGAGGAGGAGGAGGGAGGAGGAGGAGGAGGAGGAGGAGGAGGAGGAGGAGGAGGAGGAGGAGGAGGAGGAGGAGGAGGAGGAGGAGGAGGAGGAGGAGGAGGAGGAGGAGGAGGAGGAGGAGGAGCAGGACCGTGGACGCATCGGTGGGCGCAGCGGGCCTGCCCGCCGCACCCCGTCGGCAGGTCGCGAGGCGCAACAGGCAGCGGGAGGAAGCACCCACCCGCACTCGGGCGCCACTGCAGCTCACGAACATCGGGGGCGGAAGAGAGGGGGGGGGAGGACTAGGGGGGGGGGTTCGGGGGTGGACAGACCTCCTACCCTGACACGTCGATTCAGGAATGGGCCGTTTTCGGTTCGCGAGAGGGCGTCGCGGCCGTCCTTTTTGCGGGTTCCAGGTCCGTCGGTTTCGGTCCCAGGCCGTTTTCACTAAGGGGAGGTCTACTCAAGGGAGGTTTGTCCACCGCCGAGGGGTGGATATCATGGCGGGGGCCATGATATCTCCCCAGATTTCGTGGCGCCTCTTCTTGCTTCAGTGCGTCCCTGGGCCCCCCCCCCCCCCCCGGGCCGCGCACGTGCCGCCGGCCATGACCTCCACCCCCCCCTCCTAGACACCCCCCTCTTGGCCGCCCCCGAGAACAAAGAATCCCGCGGGGGCTCGTCCGGGGAGGGTCGTCTGGAGGCTTTGTCCGGATCCCCGCCGGGTTGTCCCAGGGGTTGTCCGTGTCAGGTCGTTTTATCGGCATTGATCCGCATGGGCTGTCCAGGCTGTCTCGGGGATTTTTCTTGATTGGGTTATGTTCCCACTGGACATCGCATTTTTGCGCCGCGTTCTGTTTGGCTCCCCGTATCCGGCTTTCATCCCCGTCACCTGCCCGTTCGCTGGCCCCCCCTCAGGTATTCGGAAGGGACTACGATCGAGATACATCCGTCCCAGAGCGTTCCATAATGCTCTCAGATCTTTCCAGAACGTTCTGTAACGGATTTTGCGCCCAATTTGAATCCATCCCCCAGACCTTCAGATTCTAAGAGTTTTTCGGTCTAAATCGGTCCGGTTGTGTCTCGATTTTGCTTTCGTGTCAGGTATGCGGGCTCGGAGAACGTCCGGGTGGATTTGCGGGTCGGCCGTTCTGCATGGAGATGTCCGGCCACGACCTTGTCCTGGCCGCCGAGCACGATTTCCTAGACGATAGACAGAGGGCGTTCGGTGCACCCTTTTGGCCAGCCGCCAAGATGCCGTGGCCTCGTCTTTCGTTCTCTTGATACGTCCATTGGTCCCCAACCTCGTCCGCACACTTGAAAGTCAGAGGAGGAAAATGTACCCATACAGGTACCCTTCCCTCGTCTTCCCTTTCTTGGTTCTCCTGGGACTCCCTCGGCGCCACCGCTGAATTCGCCTCGAAATTCTGGTCGGAACGCACCCCTGGAGAGGTCCGGGGAGTAGCGGTATCGGTGACTCTTGGTTTCCCCAGATACATATGGGAGGCATTGCCGCATGCAATTTTTGTCCAGAATATGATGTAGAGTAGCCGGCATGCGAGTGGAGGTGGGATTGCACAGCGCGTTGGGAATTGATGGACTATATTCGGAGGATTAGGAAAGATGAGACGAACGTGCGAGGAGGACGACGTAAAGAAAGAGGAGCGGGATGCGGACGAGGCGAAGTTTGGAGGGGGCGAACTGGGCCATCCAGGGGGTGGATGAACAAGTGGGCCGTTCATCGGGTGGATGGAAGCGCGGTGGTGCGAGAAATCACAGCTGGGATTGCGGATGGCTCGGCCGTCCACTTTCACCTCGTCCCTCAACCATCTTTGCTGGAATCAGCTCCTGCCAGCTAGACAGCCCTGGGCCCTCTCGACTGTCTCCACTTCTCTTGCGTATTTAATGGTCCCACTGGCTTTCGATCTCTTCTCCCTTCATGTTTTCTCAGTGTCCTCCACACCTGTACTGCTGCCCTTCTAGACGCGGTGCACTCGCCTCGACGTTGGGTTGTCAAAAAAAGGGGGAGGAGGAGGGGAGGAGGAGGAGAAGGAGGAGAAGGAGGAGGAGGGAGAGGTGATAATGGGATGAATGAGGGAGGAGGAGGAAAAGGAGGTTCATAAGGATGAGCATGGAGGACGATGAGGGAGGAGGGCGGGAGCAGGATTGCGGAGGATGATGGAGGAGGAAGGAGGGGGGGCGGAAGGATGAGGACATGTGAGGAGGAGGAGGAGGAGGAGGAGGAGGACGACGACGACGCGGGGCGAAAAGGGAGAAAAGGGACGACGAGGTGCGGGGCGAGAGGGCAGGAATGCTGGCGGGAGGGAGGGATGGAGGGAGGCATGGGAGCAGGAGAAGGGGAGGGAGAGGCGGGGTGGTTTGGGATCGGTGCAAGGGCGCCCTGGGTCGCGGGAGCCAAGGCGGCCAGGCGCGCGAGTACCCTTCCCCCGAGGCGCGGAACGCCTTTCCGAGGGAGCTCTGGGAAGGGGTTCCATGAGCCGGGTGGATGGCCCACTTGGGGCCTCGGAGCATCAGCCGGACGGATGGCCCACTTGGGGCCCTGGACCAGTGCAGGGGTACTGGGTGCCCCGGTGTGATGTTCCATGAGCCGGGTGGATGGCCCACTTGGGGCCTGGGGGCGGCGAGGGGGTTGCGCGCAGGGCGTGCGAGGGTCGGGGGCGTGCATGAGCCGGATGGATGGCCCACTTGGGGCCTCGGGGGGGGCGGCCTCCAGGAGCCGGGTGGATGGCCCACTTGGGGCCTCGGAGCATCAGCCGGACGGATGGCCCACTTGGGGCCTGCATTCGGCCTCCGCGGAACAGCGTTCGGGAAGGGCTGCGCGCCTTCCCGGAACAGCGTTCGGGAAGGGCTGGCGGCGGAGGGAATGGGGAGGGGTGGGAGCGGGAGAGCACGAGGTTGGAAGAAAGGGGCAAATGGAGGGAGGGAAGGGGAAGGGGACGGGGGAAGGCGAAATAGGACAGGGGAGCTGGGGGAAGGGAGGGGGAGGGGGGGGGGAGGGATGAGGGAGGCAGAGTGCGAGAGAAAATGGGCGCGGTTGGCAGATGTAAGTAGCGGGCTAGCATCAGTGAGGCGCTGAACGACACTGGTGTGGGACGCGGGGCGACGACGACGACGACGACGACGACGACGACGACGCGGGGCGAAAAGGGGAGTGAAGGGAGAAAAGGGGAGGTGGCGGCGGAGGGGGCAAGGGGCTGCGCGGTGGGCGGAGGCAGGGGGAGGGCCAGCACGGGAGCGTGCACGGGGCAGACCAGGCGAAGTGGCCACTTCGGCGCCACAGAAAGGGCGCGGCGGTCGACGGGCACACCTAGGACGAGAAGGAGAGAGGGTGGCAGAACAGCAATTCCAAGGCTGCCCCTCGCAGACAATTTGGCTTCACTCGTGCGGCCTGATCCCGCTTCGAGGTGTCTCCATGTCGACGCGGTAGCGGGCCGTGGGCCGAGGCGACCGAACTGCTCCGAACGCTGGGCGGAAAGGCGTTCCAGAAATCTTGGAACGCCTCCCCGAAAGCCGTTCCATGCACCCTTTCGACGGCCCACCTTCTGGATGGCCCTGTTCGCCCCGCCTAAGAAGTGGGAGTAGGAGTATGAGAAGATGAGGAGGAGAGATGATGATCAGGATGAAGTGGAGTCTGCCGAACAGGCATCTCCCTGTTGCAGGGCGGTATCCAGCGTCCCCGCTTGCCCCACACAGCGAAATGAGACACCCTGTTTGCGAAGGCCTCCCCCCTCTCGCCGAGCTCCCACGTCCTCCACGCCCTGGTGCTTCTCTACCTAGTTTCTCTCCTTCTGCTCTGCTTCGGATCCTCGCCCGCCCCCTCTTCCTGGGTTTCGCCCTGCTTCATCACATTTGCTGCTCCTTTCTCTTCCCCTCTACCCCTCAGCTTTCTCCCCCCCCCCCCCCTCCCTCTCTCCCTACCTGCATCACTCCCCCCCTGGAAAGAGGGCGCCATGCATGAGATATGTGTGTCTCTCGCACTCACTGTCTGTTCGTCCTTGGGGATGGGTATGACCTCTTCCTCACCCTCAAATTCCCCACATCTCTCCTCAGTATCCTCCTTCTCCTTGCTTCCATCCCTCCTCCTCCTCCTACTTCCTCCTCTCTCCTCGTAACTTCTTCTCGTGCTCCTCCTTCTCACCCTCCTCCTCTCTCATGCCTCTCGCTGTCCTCCTTTCTGCCTCCTTCTCCGCCTCCTCATCCTCCTGCTACTCGTATTTCTCATCCTCCGCCTCCTTGCCTAATCCTCCCTTCTGCCTCCTTCCGTGTCCCCCCTCCCTCCGTCACCCCCGCTCCCTGGAGCAGCTCCTCTCCTGCCGCTCCTGGATCGTGCTGCGCCTTCCTCATCTTAGGGCGACGAGATCTATGCATATCCACTGCTCCTGGCCAGGCCAATCCTGGGCCCAGGAGCGGTGTATACGCCCTCGGCCCAGGATGGGCCTGGCCAGGAGCAGTGGATATGTATAGATCTCGTCGCCCTACATCTGCGCCCCGCCAGCGAGGCGACCAGGCCGCGGTGTTCTTCCTCCCGAACCAAACGTGCGTGCGGCCACCTCGGCGGGGACTGCACCCTTGAAGGCGACGCAGCTCGGGGGGGAAGGCAGAGAGGGCGGGCCGTCCCAGGAGGCTCTCGGAGGGGCAGCCGGCCGTCAGCCTGCCAAGCCTCTCCCGAGGCCGCAGGGGGCTTTGCATCAGGGGAGAACGAGGTTTCATTCGGGCCTGTCCCTGTACAGAGGGGAATATTCAAAGATAGTCAAAACATAATCTGGGGACTATCTTTAAGCATGTTTGGTCATCTGTGGAATATGTGTTCAGTATTTTACAGGTTTCGTCCAACATCCCCCTGTAGGGGCACAGGCCCGACCTAAACCAAGGTGCACTTACCTCTACCCTTCGCCCGTTTCCCCCTTTCTTGGGCCTCCTGGGAGGCCCTCGTCGCCACCGCTGGATTCGCCTCGAAATCCTGCTTAGGACGCACCCCGGGAGACGTCCGGAGAGTAGCGGTATCGGTACCTTCTGGTTTCCCCCAAAACAGGCCACCTTCCGTGCACCCGAAGGGGCCCCAGTGGGCCCAAAAGGGGCACGACTGATCCCCCGGTCGAACACTGAGGGCCCCAGTGGCCACCAGCGTTCGACCAGGGGATCGACTACAGAATTGATTTGCCCCCTTATCTACTTGTTCCGTCGGATCTACAAAAAAGTATGCCGGATGCTCCGTAGATCGCGGAGCATCCCACGTATTTCTCGCAGATTTGTTGGAACAGTATATTTCGCGGCAAGTTCATCACGTAGTCGATCCTACGCTTGAAGCGTACTCCCCCCTACTTAAGCAACGCCCAACCGCCACCGTCGGAGAAGGCCAGCTTTCTTTGCCCCCCCCCACGTGTGTCAACGCTGACGACGACGGCGACGACGACGACGGCGACGACGACGTGGACAGCAGCCTTCCGCCCCCCCGGGCGCGCCCGCGAAAGGCTGTCGGTCGGGGCGACTTGCGGGGCCGAGTCGCGGCGGCGGCGACTCAAGGTAGGGTTTTTTCGGGCATCGATCGGCGGCGGGCGGGGGGGGGAAGCGAGAAGGAAGAGGCCTTCTCGGAAGGCGGCGGGATTTCTCAGAAGCCCTCGCGCCTTCTGAGTTTTTTTCCGTCCTACGGAAAGGCCTCAGAAAGTTCTTCACTCATCGCTTCATGGGCACAACTCCCATCCTGGCACAGGCCTCCCAATTGTGAGCAGTTCCCCCCGCACCGTGCCAGCCTGGCGGCCAACCTTGAGGCCTGCATTTCCCCACAAAGTCCTGCCAGGCGTGCAGCTGGAGCTGTCTCGAGCAGATCGCGAGTCCCCCAGCCAGGGCAGCGAGGCCCTTGCGGTGGAAACTTGCGGCCAGGACACACGGCCACACCAGAGGCCCGACCCGCCGCAATGGCCAGAACCCAAAGACCCCCACACGGGGCAGCAGCTGCACAAAACAGGAATCAACAACATCCAGTGGGACCTCCCCGGGGAAACGCCCGGCGAAGCGATACGACGACTCCAAGTCACACTAGGATCGATGTTCACTGGCACCTGGCACGCTTTCGCCAAGCGGCAGTCTGTGCCCGGCAGCAAGGGCGCGGCCGACCCGCTTCGGCACGACCCGCAAACCTGCCACCTCTTCCTGGAGTCCTTTCGCAGCCACAAGTGCGACGTACGGGTCCTCAGCGACGCGCTGGGCCTCAACGTCGACTGGACCCGGCAGTGGCAGCTGCACCTGGGTCGGTGGCGCCCGGCTCACGTGGCACTGTCCAGAGGAAGGTGCGGGAAGTCACGGCGGAAACGACCGGGGCTGCGGAAGCCGCGGAACATCCCCTCTGGACTATCCGTTCGTCAGCCGCCATCTGACTGGGCCACTCTCTCAGCAGGGGGACCACGGGACAGCCACCCAGACACACGACAACGCAGCCCTTCGCCGGCCCTTACTCAGGACCATACGGGAGAACAGCCACTGGTGTCGCAGCTGTCCTGCACAGCTGGCACATCCTTTGGCAGGCTCCTCTTTCCCACGGCGGGCCCAGCCCACTGCTGTGAAGGTTGTTCCCCCAGCTCCTGCGACGGAGTACATCCGACGACTGGTGGCCTTGCTCCGGTGGCGTTTCCTCCCCACCAGGCAGGCGCCTTCCCTCTGATTACATTCCGACTACGCCATGTTGGGTCCTCGACTGCCTGTGTCGCCACCTGGCTCTCCTCCTCCTCCTCCTTCGTATTCAATTGGTTGCGGCTATCGGCTGCGCCCCCCCCCTCTTCCTTCACGACGACTGCAGCGGCGGGCCCTTCGACCACCACCTGCGGGTGGGCACACTCGTGCACAAGTGGTTCATCCGTTGGCAGGTTCCGCCTTCCCACGACGGGCCCGTCCCGCTGCGCGACGCCGACGACCTTACCCCCTGACCCGCCATGGGCGACGCTCTGTTGGGTCCTCGGCTGTCTGCGTCGCCTGGCCCACTTGTGCCTCTCTTTCTTGTATTCTCCTGATTTGCGGCTATCGACTGCGCCTCCCCCCCCTCCTCTACGCACGCTGCGGTGCTGATCACGCCTGTCGGCGTCCCCCCAACAGTGCCACGTCTTCGCGCCTGCCCCGAGGTCGTCACTCCTTCCACGCGGCAGGGTGCGCCCGATGGGGCACTGGCAGGTGGGCCGTGGAGGCTGGCTTCCTGCACAAGTGGCGCATCCTTTGGCAGGGCCGTGCTTCCTCTTGGCAGGCGCTCTCCGGCTCCCGGCCATGCAAGCGACATCGGCCCTTTCCTCTGGTAGGATTTGTCGCTCGTGGACGACAACGACGCCCTGCCATTCTGCGGTGTTCAGGTGGTGCACACCTGCCCGCAGTCCCCCCCCAGACGGGGCCTGAACGCTTGTGGGTAGTGCCGCCATGGTCCCACGCGACGTCCCCCCCGTCCACGGACGCATGCACTCGGGACTCACGACAAGACTACCGACGCCTGTTTCAGTGACGTCTTGTCTTCGAGCACACGAGGTGCTCTGTGAGTGAGGCTCCCTTTGCCCCCCTGTCCCTCCCCCGCCTTCTCTTCCCCCCCTTGTTCCCCCCCTGCTCGCCCTGCCCTTCGCCGTCCGGTCTGCCGGTTGCTGGCGCCACTGTGCGACGCCCCGCTGTCCGCCGTCGGCTGCGGTTTTGGTTCGGCCTAGTGAGGTTCATTTTGTTCTTCGCACGTGCATTCCGGCGTTGGCTTTTGGCCCGCTGGCAATTATCTTGCTTGTTGCCCCAAGTTTGTTTCGACCCAGTCTCTGGAATCGTCCTTGGAGCCGCAGATCAAAAAAGTATCCCCACCAGTTTCTCCTTCGCGCCTAGTGGGTCATTTAGGCCATTGCTCGTTTGCAATTCCCTGACGGCGCCCAGCACCCCTGCGCGCTCGCGAACAAAAAAGTATCCCCACCAGCCCATTTTGAAGCCCTGCCCATGAGCCTGGCGTCGCTCGGACGTGTGCATTTTTCTTTCGGCGAAGACCATCGAGGAGCATCCTTGATCATTTAGCGAAAAACACCCTGCACGAAACCGAAAAAAAAACACACAGGGAATGGACGTCCGAACGATGGCGAGTGAGAGCTGACGGAAAAAAAGGACGAAGAAACGCATCTAGGTAAACAGAGCGAGCAACCAGGGCGAACCGAAATATCTCTGGGAGCAAAGGGGTAGCATTGGAAGGCCTATTCGGGCCATCCCTGGGGGCCGCGTGGGGGCGAGGGACGGAGGAGGAGGAAAAGGAGGAGGATGAGGACGAGGATTACGAGGAGGACGAGGCCGCGGATGAGGACAATGATGAGGAAGACGAGGACTAGGATGAGGACGCCGCGGATGAGGACTCATGGAACCATCTAGAGGTGTTTTTGCGTCTGCTGCTGCTGCTGGTGCTCTCTGGGATTTTTTGGGGCCATCTTACAACCCTCTTGGTAACCCCGGAAGGTTTCTTGGGATCATCTTCGAGGCCATTCATTACAGGATGGGGGGTCCCCAATTCAGCTCGCCCCTCAGGACCCGGCAACCCGCTTCTTTGGGCTCTCAATGAGCGCTCTTGGAGCGGTCTTGGGGCGGTTTGAAACATCTTGGGAGCCATCTTGAGCCAGCTTGGGCTATCTGAGCCATCTCAGAAATCATCTTGGGTTCTCTGAAGCCGCTCGGGGGCCTCTTGGGGGCCTCTCGGGTGCCTCTTGGGGCCCTCTTGGGACCCTCTTGGAGCCTTTTTGGGGCTTTATTGGGGCTCTCTTGGTAGCCCTGGAGCGCCTCATGGGGCCATTGTCGATGCTATTGATCAAAAGAGGGAGGGTCCCGATCGACGCCCCCCCCCCCCGGAGGCCACGATCCTTGTTAGGAGTGTCAAAAACTGGCCCTCCCAGGGGCCGAAAAATGTGCCCTCCAACCACCCGCGACCCCCTGTCCAAAAAGTCCAGGGGAGGGCGCAGGGGGAAGGGTCAAGACCCCCTCCCCGCCCGCAAGCCGTCTCGCTCACCCCCACCCGCCCTCCCAACACATACGTAGCACCCTAGTATGGCCCGAGCCTCAGCATACTCAGCAGTCGTCTTTGGATGGGCAGCTACTGGGGGCCAATCCGCCGCGCCGCCTCCGCCGCCGCCGCCGCCGCCGCCACCGCCGCTGCCCGCCGCCACCGCCGCCGCGCCGTCGCCGCTGCCGCCACCGTCGCCGCCGCCGTCGCGCTGCCCGCCGCCGCCGCTGCCGCCGCATGGCTCCTGGTTGGCTACCAGTCGCCTGGGGGAGAGGGCAATAATAGGGAGCAGTGACAAAACCCTCACCGAAGGGGAAGCAGGGTTTTTTTGTAAGAGGAAATCAAGACATCGTCGGTCCACCTTCGACCAGAGGGCTGGTGGGACTTCTCGGGAAGCCGGGGGACTCCCGAGCCTTGTAAGAAGGCCCGCCTCTTCTCATTGCCCCCGTCAATCGCTGCCGAATTGCGATGATGCCCGCCCAGGCATGTCGACTGATGACATGGTGCATTGGTTCACTCGACAGTGGCACAGTTCCCGGTCTGTTCTGCGGACGGGCGTGCGCTCCGCTGGATATGCAGTCGGTTGGTG